TTCATAGATTGCATGCGAAATGCAAAAGATTTATAATTTAAATGAAACGTCTTTTTATCGGACGATATATACTAAACGAAACGGAAATTGTTTTTTAGGTTTAATTTACATATGAAATACATTTTACAATGAATTGCTATTCAAGTGATTAATTCGAGAGAGAAAAAGTACACATTATTAGAGCTTATGTTAACTTTAATTGTTTATTAATTTTGATTTTTTTCTGTTAATTTTGTTACGAAAACATTAAAGAGTTTTTTTGGTCTCAAATCAAACCTAATTATATTATAAAAATGTTAATGAGTTTTGAATATTTAATTTTCTCAATTCAAAGTTCATATAAAAATCTCAATTAATTGATTGTAAAAAACAATTTGCGTTTTCTTAGATCAAAGATTTGTTTTTTTGGATTCAATAATAAGTTAATTGATAATAATATTTGTAATAATAATAAATTAAATTGTGAAACACCAATGCTGTAATGAATGCTTGAATTTGCTATTTATTTAATGCGATAATAAATTTTTAATTTAAAATTATTAATAGTGTGTTGTAAGTTTATTAAATTTAGCGCAATAATTTTAAGTTTTAAAATATATTTTAATTATGAAGTCCATAGTGACTATGGCATAGTCTACCAATCATATACAGTGTACTGATGTATGTATACACACAAAATCTCGCAATCTTGAAAATTATAAAATCTATTTTTTAATTTTTTGGTTAATTATATAATTATATACAGTATATGTATAAAATGAGTTAAAACTAAACACAAAATGTAGATATAATTTAGTCATAAGCAAGGTGTTCAATACTCTATATATGGCATTAATTGTGATGACAATATGGGCTGCAAAGCTATAAACAGATTGCTTAAAAATCAATGAACTTGTAGTACACAAATTGGCTAAATCTAACTAACCATAAATGTCTGTATATTCATAGACTGTATTCAAAAAGTGTATTGTATTCTTGCATTCATTTCATATAAACCTCAGAATTCACTGTTAGTTTTGGTCAAAAGTTTTAATTAGAAAAATAGTTAAACATATTTTGTGATCAAAATGAAGAGTTTCTTAATTATAAGTTTCGTATTGTATTATACATTGAGATTCAATGGACGAGTGAATGGTTTTAACAGTGATTTCGCAAAACTAGAGAATCTCTTAACACAAGAGAAAGCAATGATTGAGTCGTTGAGTGAATATTTGGTGACCGAAGAGGGCCTCAATTCTCGCTTAAGACGACTGACAGATAACTCATTGACTTTGAACTCAATTGCACTGAAGGGCGACACCGAGGGCTCACTTTTAGGACATCCACTCGACGTATATCTCCTCATCAGACGAATGGCTATCGACTGGAAAGAAGTGAAGGATTTGTTGCGAACCAAAGACCAGCGCTTAAGTGATGTCCAAATGAGACAAATCTGTGGTCACTCTAACCATACAATCATACAGTTAGAGTCCTGTAGTCATGAGATTATCACTAATAAGCAGCTAAAAGGTATTGAAAGAAGTTTTAGTTAATAATAGAGATGTTAATGAAAATGATAAGTCTCGTCAGTACTTATGATTTGGAAATCAAAGCGAATGGATTCATTAGATCTAAGACCAGTTCCGGTGCTGAAGTGACTTCAAGTGTAAATCAATCCAAATATGCTTTCAATGCTTTCGACTGCTATTTGATTGGAAAACAAACGTTTGATAACAAGGAGTACTCGAATGCAAAGCTATGGCTAACAGAAGCGGTCGATAGATTGGATGACATGACCAGCGATGAGATAATTGCAGACATTTTTAATTACCTATCGTTTTGTGAACTGAAAATTGGAAAACCAAGTGAAGCCCAAAAATATGGGAGACTGTCGGCCGCTATAAAGCCAGACATCGAGACAAATGAGTTGATATCAGAGATGAAAGTGTTTAATGACACGAATACCACTTCTTCTCGTTTCAAAGATAAACCTATTTTTAGTTTGTCTGCAAATGTATATGAATTATGTCGCGGAGAAAGACTTATGAATGACTCGATTGTCTCGAAACTCACGTGTTTTCACTTAAACACAACGAAAACACCGTTTTTACGGTTGACTCGCATTAAAGTGGAAGAGATGTACAAAATTCCGCAAATCGTTGTAATCCATGACTTTCTGTCAGAATCCTCGACACAAACTATAGTCTCTTTGGCTCAGCCATCACTCGACAAGTTATACGTTTTGGGAAGGGATGGGAATATAGATCACAACAGAGATAACATCCGATTGGCTAAAGGCAGAAGGCTTTCGGACGATCAGCACAGACCCTTGCATACAATCAGCCGACGTATCGGTGCCATCACTGGCCTTAACATGGAGTTCGCAGAACCATACAATGCTATTTAGTATATTGTCGGCGGCTATAACTCCAACCACTTCGACACCTTTACTTTCTTAGCGTACGATAAGGTGCGGATCGCCACGTGGATCAACCACCTGAGCGATGTGGGCGCCGGTGGGGCCACAGTATTCCCAGTCCTCAATGAGACCGTATGGCCCACAAAACACTCGGCACTATTTTGGCACAATTTGCACCAATCAGGTCAACTCGATCTACAGACACTTCACAGCGGGTGTCCTGTACTGGAGGGACACAAATGGATTGCCAACAAATGGGTCCAATCGATGGGACAGGAGTTTCGTAAACCATGCGATCCATACAATCGACAATCACGTCATTACATTCGATGAGACCAACATTATAATGTGTTCAAGCAACTTATTCTGTTATGATAATATAGTAATTCTATACATTTTTATTTAAAAACTTTATTACTTTTTTTGTAAATCAATGATTGCTTTAAATGATTATTTTTTAATTTAAAATTATTAATATGATAGCTTGTTGTAAGTTTTTTAAAGTTAGCGCTATAATTTTTAGTTTTAAAATATATTTTAATTATGGAGTCCATAGTCTACCTATAAGTATAAGTTGGCTTGTTTAAATCTAGATTAATTGTCGCTATAATTGTGCGAGGTAGTAGTTTATAGAGTGTCAAGTCTACTTTGATAACTTTTAATTTAATAATCACTTCAAATGCATTGCGAATGCATTACGCAATACAGCTGTAAATTATAGTACAAAGTTATGTCAGGTGTGGTATTCAACCAAATATGAGTCAGACATAGGCAACACAATTCACAAGCATATTATGGACAGTATGTGAGACACCCACCCCCTAACCATGTGTCTGATGCCGTGTATGTCCTCCCAGTGTGTGATTATATGGATGGCAACACATGCTATGTGTGTAACACTTGACAACTGAGCAGTCGTTCAAAGTGTGAGTCAAATGAATGTGTGATTTGTTTGTGTATTTGGGCCGACATTTGTTTAGTACACAAATTCACCTATAATTCAATTACCCGGCTGTTAGTGTGGGACAGACATGTACTCAGACGCCGAGTGTGGTCAGTACGGCGCGGGTGACGCCTACGAGGGACAGGGATTTGGCACCAGTTTCTCCACCAAAGCCATCCGTTTGGGTCAGTATTTCATCACTATTTGCAATACATTTACCCAAAAATGTTAATTAATTTCATACATACTGTTAACCCGGTTATAGTGAACACCCGGCTCACCATTACTTACCTTAAAATCTACCTTATTAGCTAGTATAGTTTACTATAACTGTCAATAGACCTGGGTGTTCACTAGAACCTTGCTCTATGTGCCATTAGCCGGGTACAGGTATTTCAATTATAACTGTAATTGTGTTCATAGTTATAGTCTATGAATATATGTTTAGTTTAATAATGTTGTGTTTAATTATTTATAAAACTAATTGATTGTGTTTTTTATGATTCATAGCATTCATACGCAAAGTCTATGGCATACTATCCGTGCAATTGTTGATATCGTTTGGGTTTATATGTGTTTTCGCCATTCCGTTAGTATTAACCATAAGTTTATAAATTAATTGGTTTTGTAATTCATATGAAAATTATTTTTTGTGTAATTTTTTGTTAGTTTGAAAACGTTTTGGTTTATAAATTAAACGCACAATTAGTATATTAGTATAATTTTAGCTAGCTATAAATTCAGTGTTTAAACAATAATTGCGTTTTCAGTGTTTGTGTAAAAATATTGATTTTTATTATGTCACCAGTTTTTAGTACATTATACACATGTAGTGAACAGTCGATGCATTTAAATAACAAATAAAATAGCCATTAAATCATTTTCATAGGAATTGCTACTATTTTTAATACAAAACCAATGCCACAATTCTGTGAGAAATTAATTGTTTATAAAAACTAATTGTTTTAATTTTGTCAATAGGGATGGCATGAGACAGTGGTCGAGAGAGAATATATGGGTTTTATGGGTTTCATTGTATGTATATTGCACTGAATCTAATTGGTATTAAATGATGCACTAATCTGTTGCCTACCTGTGCCCCCCCCCCGGCAGTGGAGTGGCGTTCGCGACGATGTTGGTGTTGGCCTGTTGTGGCGAAATGAGACGCCAAACCCCACACAACTACATCGCGCTCATGATCTTCACGATCGCCGAGTCCTTCCTGTTGGGCATAATCTCGAGTCTATACGAGTATCAGATAGTGTTGTCGGCGGTGGCCATCACTGCCGTCGTATGTCTGGCGCTCACAGTCTTTGCCTTTCAGACCAAAATTGATTTCACAGTCTTTAACGGCTTATTGTTCGTCGCAATGATTATATTAACGCTCTTCGGCTTTGTTGCGATGTTCTGGCGCTCAAACGTAGTCCATCTCATCTACTCAGCCCTCGGAGCCCTCCTCTTCTCGGCGGTTAGTACTCCTAGACTTCCGGCCCCACCAGTGGGGGCCAAGTATTTTAGATTTACTGTTTACGATATGAATTTATATTTTGATTGTAACCCTTATTATAATTGTTGGTTTAACTGTTGATTATGAATGGATTTCCCGATAATATCCCTTTCCCTATATGTATGATTGATAAGCATATTACGGTATCGGTATATTTTGCAACCCCTTTATCCCCTAAATGTCTGTCCATTTCATTAATACTATATTTATATCTAAATATAAGTTAATATATGCTAGTAATATGCGCTAAACTCTCTCCTAATTATAAATAGTTTTAAGTTATTATTGTTTTGTTTAATATTTATTGGAATCTATATTTTTTTTGGTTGTTTGCCTAAATGTGTTGTGTTTTGTGGGCTCATTGATTGGCATCCCGGTGCGCACCCGACTCCGTGACTATACCGGTACAGTACCTGGTGGTAGACACCCAGATGCTGATAGGCGGCACCCACAGCATCCAGATCTCGTCCGAGGAGTACATATTCGCCGCCCTAACCCTTTACATCGATATCGTTCAACTGTTTATCTATATCTTGCATTTGGTTTCGGCCGCCTCTCGCAATTGAGGGCCTGTCCCCTCGCAAACACACACATACTGTACATCTCATACACCTCCAGTTCCCCTAACCCTTCATCAATGTCTATGTGTGCCACAGGAACTGTACACCGCTTTCAAGAGAGAGACAGAGAGACAGTCAGTTATTGATTAATATATTGCTTATTATTTTGTAATTACGGTATAAATTAGCAGTTATTTGAAAGTTTATGTTTTTTTGCACACATTTAAAGTAATTTGATTTTGATTTGTATTTTTAATTTGCTTTTAAAAAAGTATTATTAATGGCTTTATATTACTATCCAAATGGGTTTGTTTCCAAATATGTTTTTCTAATTTATTTATTTTACATTTATTGTAGTAGAGTATAATTTGCGGTTATTTTGTAAAATAATTTAATTTTGGTTTTGTTTCACATTTAAAATAAATTTCTGAATGAATTTGTTTTTGAAATATAATGTTTTTGTTTTATAATTATTTAATTTAGTAAAACTATAAGTTATACCAATGAATCTCATGATAAAAGTATTTGTATTAAAATACCATTTTCTACTCAAAAAGTTTTTTTATTTTTTTAAGTTTCTCACAATTAAAATGCAATTTATTAACCAAATGTTGAGTGAGTGGTTGGGCGCTACAGTATCTGGGATCAAGTTTATAGCACCGGAATAGTTTAAATCCTTATTGTGTTTATGATGTACTACTTGTCCACCTAATCCCTGCACTATTTATCAACAGTTTTTACTAATTACATTATCAATACTAATATCACTAATATTTGTCTCGTTTAACTGATCCGGTACATACAGTACTTAGTAGTGGACACACAGATGATTATGGGCGGCAGCCATAAGGTCCAGGTGTCGTCGGAGGAGTACATATTCGCCGCGCTTACCCTTTACCTCGATATGATCAACATTTTCCTGTATGTCCTACATATCCTGTCCATCCTGTCTGACAACTGATCCAACACTTCAATTGAATGGAATTAGTCTCTCTCTCCCCCTCCCTTTCCCTCCCAGAGTTTATAATTGGTTATACTGTACAGTATTATTTGCTTCCTTACACTCCATGTGAATTGTGATTTACTTTAATTCAGCAGTGTATATTTACGGTTATTTATAATTTTCTACTCATAAAAAGTATATTTTATTGTATGAATATATTATATGTGTTTATAAAAGGCTCACATGAATAACAATAATTGAACAAAATTTCTATGGATTTACTGAACAG